CCCGCGTCCCCGCCCCGCCCGCGCCCACACCCCTTCCGTACACCTAGATCCCTCCCTCAACCACTCCCCTCACTCCCCCACTTGCATTCCTCAACCAACCCTCCGCTCGCCCCCACCCGCACCTCGCCAGCCATGCAGGCCCCACCGCCGCCTCCCCCGCCGCCCATGGCCGCCGCCGGCACGAGAATGACCCCTCCACCGCCACCGCCCCCGCCGCACACGACCGCGGCTCTCGGCGACATCGCCCCCGAGCCGCCCATGCCGCCCATGACCGACAATGCCCCGCCGGTCCCGACGCAGTACGAGGAGGAGGACATTCCCGCCCCCGCCATGCCAGCGTCAGCGAGCTCCTCCCGCCCGAAAAGCCCCGTCGTCCATGGCACTTATGAGAAAGCCGATTCCGACGACGAGGAAGTCATGGTTAAGACAGAGTTTGTTTGGGCAGATGGCGCCGATCAGGATGTCAAGCTTTCCGGTGCATGGAATGGTTGGATGCCAGTTCAGATGTACCACGAAGGAGGTTAGTTACACTCGTTTTCCGAAACCCCCACCCCTAGCACCCACGCCCTGCATATTCTAAGCCTTCTTGTGTCATGTTCTATTTTGCGCCAATCCTTTCTCTCCCTTTTATCTACGTTTTCAGGTGGCATGTGGTCCGTCGTAACGCCAGTACCCGCGGGCACCCACGAGTTCAAATTTGTAGTCGACGGTGAATGGAAACATAGCACGCGTCATCCCACCGTCGGCGAAGATGAAGAGACAATGAATAACATCCGAGTCATTCGAGGTCCCCCTAAGAACAAGCAGAATACCGCCCGTCTTTCGGAACAGCGGAATAAGGAAGCCGGCATGTCGGCTCCTAAACAGAAGAAATGTTGTGTCGTACGTTACATTCATCTTCTTCGCACTCACCGCTCTAGTACCTCCCCATTTCAAATCTAACTTAGACTCAAATTTCTTAATAATCGGTTTGTACAGTCATAACTTTATGCTTCAATTGCATTGATGTAAGCGGATTCGAAAAAGGAGGAAGGCATGTGGATGAGTCGGTCAGCTAGACCAATGGTTTATAGTGTCAGTTGACGACGCTGCGTATGTATATTGGTCCAACTATGTCTTGCCGAATGAAAAGTTGGTCTCGTAGAAGAAGAAGAAGAAAAAAACATTTGCACGCGTGTTCCCCCTTTCGTCATGCTGCTCATTCACTTGAGGATGGGATGGGATCGCTCGTTTGATATTTATGTATCTTGGCTGGGGGAAAAGCACGTGGCCGGAGCTCACAGTGTGCGTATTAAACATGAGTTTCTTCTTACTTTTTGTATATGTTAGGTCAATGGAGGGAGTGAAGACCGAGAGGAAGTACGGTTGGGTGACACGAGAGGGTGGGCTTTCAAGGGTGTTTTTTGAAACGAAACAAAAACCACCGAAATGGATATTTTCGCTAGTTCGCCGTACAGAGAGCATGTTGGGCAAGTAACGTAGGTAGAGACACAGGTGCAGATTCATCAATATTTCCAGGATGCTCTGCTTGAAGAAGCCTTTGCGCTTCGTCTATGGGTCCTCGATCCGTCCGTATGCACCCCAGGACCGTCCGAAAAATTTGCTCAAATCATTCCTGCCATACAACACCTCGCTACTGTACAATTTCCGCTAAACGCCCTGTTTTTCACACACACCAAAAAACTACCAATCTTTTCTCCCGTCGCGCATTTAGTCTAAACCCACTGTGCGTCATTGCCGCCTTCAACTCTCTACTCCCGCTGCCTCACCCGTTCTCCCGCAAATCTCATTCCCCCGCCCCCCTTCACCTACACCTGTTTACCATTTCTTTCCGTCAGCATTCTCAACTTGTTTTATCTTTCAGCGCCAAACTGTCCACTCTATTCCCTTTAGACAACTTGGTCTTTATATCTATCAACCAGCTTGTCACCTTTTTTATCCCCGCCCTACCCAATTCTCTTTCATTTTCAAATCCCTTTCTCAAGAGCTCCACTGGAAATCGCTCATGTTCGCCTGTCGGCGAGTTTGACGCTCAAAAGCTGTTTCTGCAATACGTCTCTTTACAGTCATATACCCATCGCGATTCGCTTTACCTTTTCCCCTTGGGTGTTCGTCTTTGCAGGCAATTGATTCTTCTTTCTCGTCCACATCCTCCGAACAGAAGCTGTCTCAATTTGATTCCCTTCTAATCACCCTCTCTAATTGTTGCAGTTTCTTTGTTACTTCTTGGTGCATCTTAGAAGGCAGACCATTTTACACCGCTGTCAAGCTCGGCGATACAAATTTTGACTACGTTTCTCTTCACTTTGCTTTGAAGCTTGCACAAATATCTGCTTCTGCTCTGCACAAGACAGACAAACTTAATCTGGTTTATCTACATGCTGGTCACTTATCTCCACTTTTCGAAAGATATCTAACCACAGCCGTCTTGCCCTCTCTTTGTATCAACTTCGAAGGCATATTTGCGTTCGAAGCCTTTCAAGCTGTTGCCCTTCCTCTCAGCACTCACGGAACAGTAAACAAGACACGGCCTTGTTTAGCTTTGGATGCCGCCGATAAAGCTGCAACTTGCACTCTCAGGCTGGTCCGCAAAAAACAAGCCACGATCGTCCAATTGCGCTAGACCGGACGCAACTGACATAAATGCCCAGTTTCGCAACTCATTTGAGAAATTCACTATGTCAACTTCAATGAACGGGCAAATAGAAGAACTACCTGCGCCTAATGCAGTTAACACTGGCGAGGAAGATACCTCAAACATCAATTGCAATCCTCGGGTCACTATTGCTCTCCGCATTAGGGAATGTGGAAAGGAAAATGCTGAGAAGGAAACCATGACGGACAAAATTGGTGATCCTAATTCAAACGGAGTTGTAAAGATCGACAGGCCAGTAGCTGCACTGTGTTCTAAACAGGGCGAACGTGCTCTGAATGGAGTTTCGAACACACCGGGAAATCCGAAGAAAAAGACTGAGAGCGAGAAAGGCCAAAACAGTACAAGCCCAAAACATATGGAAACGACCTCACCAGAAGAGTCTATCAAGCATACTAAAACTTCTGGCCCGGAACACAGAATCCAATCACAGGTAAATGGCATCTCTATTCAGGCACCGTCCGCAGGTAATAATGAAGCTCCAGCTGAGACTCCAGTTCAATCTGAGCAGGGTGTGAAAATGGAAAAAACAGGCGAACATGAAGCTGTTCGTGAGACAGATTCTGATTTCCGCTCTGAACAATCTAAGGAAGAAAACGTTCTTGGATGTGTGTCCAGTAGTGATTCAGAAGAGGGTACGATTACAGGACCCAGGATATGTCAGTTTTGTCGAAAATCTGCTCCGTCTGCTGCGATGATACCCTGCGCGGAATGCCGAGACGGTATGCATACGCATTGTGTTAACCCACCGTTATCTACGATACCAGCATATCCGTGGCGCTGCCCGAAGTGTCTGAAAGTTCGTGCAAATCGCATGGCGGCTTGTATGGTCAGATCGGCAGGCACACAAACGGACGATCGCGTGTCTATCTACTTGGCTGACAAACAGCGAGACTGGTTGCCACTGAAACTGAGAAACAAGCCAAATCAGGCTCCTTGCCTGCCATCAAAGCCGAGGCATAAGGCATTGCCATCTCCTGCGATAGCGCCACCCGTGAGGTATGGGCGACCTGTCCGATTGGCGTCAGGAGCAGTGGTACCAATCCGATACGTCGCCGATTCATTTCGTGCCTACAGCAGCGGTGATGAGGCGGATGATGGTTTTGAGGACGACGTTATCTACGCCGCGTCTGATGATTTTCAAATAGCACACAATCTGAAAAGTTGCGAATACTGTAGCACGCCACATCCTGGAACGTTCGGCTCAGGTAGGTTTTGTTCTTCAAAATGCGCGAGAACGGTTGGAGGTCTGTCTCGACGGAAGTTTAATCAAGAACGACGGGATGAGTATGCTGAAGGAGGCCGCGGCCTGGTTGTCGAAGGCATAAGCAACCGAGGTCGTGGGCGTGGAAGAGGCAGAGGCAGAGGCAGGGGTAGAGGGCGGGGGCGAGGTAGGGGCAGGGGCAGGGGTAGAGGTCGGGGTGAGAGGACGCATTTCAGTGATCGACCTACTTTACCGCTTGGCATTATTCCGGAGGACGACGAAGACGACCCGGACCCTGAGGTTTTGCCGAATGCTCATGTGTCTCACCGAAGCCGATATGGCCGTGTTGTGCGTAACCGGACTCCTGGAGCTATTGACGCAAATGTGAATGGGAGAGAGAACTCATCAGGAGGTCCCTCTTATGATGATGCCGAGGATGGCAAGTCTCCCACTAATCTACCCTTTCAAGCGAGCGCAAGGGAAAGTGCCAGCACGGCAGGGTGGTCACGAAACGTCAGACATGCTAGCGAATTGGAAGGCGACACCAAGGAAATGCAGTTTTCTGATGACAGCCATAACTCGACCCATAAGATGAAAGCTCAGAGTCAAGGACCACATTTGCCAGCGACGGAGGGTAGTGACGGTCATGCGCTGAATGAAAATGGTTTCCAGCGAAAGTCGAACCGAAACAAAAAGCGGTCGTTCACATACATGGAAAATCCTGAAAATGGCTTAGAGATGTATTCTGATCAGCCAGACGCAATGAGCCGCCATGACAACACACATTCCCGCGACGAGCCGTATGTCCCGCAGGCGAAAAAACATCGAAATGAGACACGGCTACTCGGAACGGAAACCCCTGAGTTGGCAGGCAAGGTCTCTTCTGCAGAGCAAAAGGATATTCGACAGAAGGGTACTTTTCGAGGAGGGAGTGACAAAAATCGATCCGGCAAGCCTTTGACCAGTGCAAAGTCGAGATCTTCTGGAGTTCTACGACCTGGGAAGGGATACAAGTTTTGTCATGAGTGCGGGGAGTTGATCGCAAACAGGCGCTTCTTCTGCACTCTTTGCGGTGCAGCAAATCCTTCGGCAAAAAGAACACCTCGAGTGCAAGTGAATGCAAAAGATATTTCTGGTGGAAAACCTCCACAACACAAGGCGAAGGGTTCATCAAGTAAGCATGCTGAACTTTCTGATCCTAGAAAGTCACCAGCGCTTAGAATTCAAGAGTTGCAACTTCTATCTGCTTGTGGATACAAGACAGAAAAGAATATCTTGAGCAACCCACCTGTTGAACCTCCAGAAAACGATAGCCCTCCATACACAGCTACAGTTTGTTGGGAGGCTTACCAAAGAGTGCTGAGAGAAAGGCGACGCACGGCGAAGAAAGCGTCGACCAAGGCCTCCTCATCAGTGAAGGGTCAGCTTTGGCCCCCGCGAAGTTCACTACCACCTCCTATACGAAAAGAACCTGCTCCAAAATTTTACAGTTCACGAGAAGAGAGCAATGCGGATTTGAAGCTGCCGGCCAACGAAGCGAAGCGCCTTGAAATCTTTCGTCAACTCAAGGATGAAAGTAGTGGTACGGAATGAGGATGAGCAGAAGCATAACAGAAACAATTCTAGATCGTTTGCGTTGCGGTCACCCAAACCTTTTATTCAACTTATGGTTGCTGTTTTTTGATGAAACGCCCTTAACGGGCAATTATTGTATTCGCCATAGAACCTCACATAATATTCTCTGTCTGGAGCTTTATAGTAAATGCAACACAAGAGCATGGAATCCTGTACACACCAGAATAGTCAACACTAGCGTAGCTTGTACCGGTCTTTACTTCGCGCCGAAACGCTTTTTCGCCCTTGAGGCGCGTGAATCTCTTGCCCGAGACTCACGAGCTCGAGTCTCGCGAGCTTTTGATGCGCGAGAGTCACGAGGGCCCTGGCGGGGGTTTGCCGGTTGCTCTTCTAAATCGGGCTGGGGTAGAACCACTCTAACGTTGTTCAGAGAAGTGTCATCGATTCCGATAGTTGGATGACGACAGGATTGTTTCCACTCGCCATCGACAATGAATTTGAACTCATGTGGACCCGGCGGGACAGGGGTGACAACAGACCAAAGGCCACCCCCTTCGTGAAACATTTGAATCGCTTTCCAATCATTCCAGTCCCCCGAGAGCTGAACGTCGTCCTTGGCCCCGTCTCCGTATACAAACTCAGTCTTCACTCCCAGCCGAGGTTTCCCTCTACTGCTGAACATCAGGATGGCAGTTTGTTGAAACCGCCTTTTCGACTAGCCGGCAAAAGTTGAAGTAGACCAAGAACGGCCAAAAAGAAAGGAGAACAACACACCTTTAGCTGCAGTGCAACTCGAGAAGAAGCAAGCGACTGCTTTCCTTTAGCTTTGTCTGGTGGTAAAAACTGAGCACTTCTCAAAACGCATGTCCTCAAAGGCATGCCCTCAACTGTCAGGCATACTTCAGAAGGCAGTTTCTATGAACCAGAATGAAAATGGTTATTTGAGTGGTGAAGAACTATTCTAATGCAGAACAGAGAACCCCATTTCGTGGCAATTGACGTTGTACTTGCATTTAATAGGAGAGAGAAATATGCTCTATTCATATACACATATCTTGTATTCTGCATTTCTATATTTCTGAAACAAGATAACTGTTTTGAGCAAAGAATGGTGGCAACATCCCTCTTCGGCAACACCGTTTCAAGGTCAATGCAGGAAAAGCCGTCGTGAAGATGCAGTACGGTAGTCCAGGCAGCGACAAAACGGACATGCAATTCATTGCCATGAGAAAGTCAATAAGCGGAAAATAAATGGGTCAAGTACTCCCGAAAACCGTTGCATACAGCAATGTTCATTTTTAGTCCATTTTTCACGCATACTGTACACAAAATTCTCGCAATAGGCTTACATAATTCAAAAAAAGTAAAGTACAGTAGTGCAGGTATTAAACGGCTGGAATTCGTTGAAAGAGAAACCTATTCTCTGTGCTGTGCTCCGTATATCCTTCCTTTATTGCTTCTCTTCTTTTCCCCAAGGGGATGACCAGTCACAGGCTACCCTTCGAAGGGTATTTCATGTCTGAAATAAAGTCGAAGAATCAATAGTGCTTTAGATAAGAACAAAATTTGAGCCGTGAGCAAGGACCTTCGCAAGCTGCCATGATGAGGGTGCCAAGTGATCGCCAGTTTGTTCATGTCGATAACAACTTGCAAATCCATCGTGCAGCATCAAAATTTGAAAACGGATAGGCATTGGACACAGGGCTCTACATTCAAACAAATTCAGTGAAGCTCAGAAGGTCTTGAGTCTCAGACAAAAAGAAAAACTGTACATGCTCTCTCTCTCGATACGTGTAGTCGTTGGCCACTGTTACAGACTTTCATATGAGGACTATCCTGCACTGGGCCATGTTTCCAAGCTGAAGAGTACTTGAACACGCGCAAATTAACTCTTACACGACCTACCGTATGCAGAGTGCGATCTTTGAGCGGACCGATTCAGTGTTCCAAGGAAGGCTGTATATGTTTAGCACATGTGTACGGGATATTTCTTTGTGCTTGCATTTCAATGTCAGCTTGAAAGAGAAAAGGGCGGTGAGAAGTTCGGGCAGGAAGCTTCAAGCGCAAGCTTTCACAGTGATGTTTTTAACTCTTGTTCGCGGCTACTTGCCTATAGCATGTCGCTCAGCAGGTGAGGCTACAGATACAGTGCCAAAAAGTGCTCATGGCAAACATGTGTACTTACACTAACATACGGGTACGTACCTATTGATGTAAAAAAAGGACTCAAACTGGTACTGACGTGTCAGTTTGAACCATGCAATTTGCAAAAAATAAATATTTTATGTAAGAGGTTTAATTCCGGCGAGGGACAACAATAAAAACATGCATAAGAAACGTGGAAAAGACAGCAGGAGTCCCTTGGATGTGCTCCCCAAGATATGCACTGCAGTTGACACCTGTCTTACAACATACTTTTGAATTTGACCACCCTGCTCTTCACATATGAATTTTCTATCTCAGAAACTTTCCGGAGATGCGTTGCCTTTCTCACAAGAATTCCAGCAGTAACGTCTTTACGCTGTCTTTCGCTTCCTCTCCAGAAAACATTTCTCACCTCTTGACTTCGTATCAATCCATTTTTTTGTATGCTGATACCTTCCTTCTCAGTAGATTCCATCGTCCGTGTTGGTGTGCTGTATTAATTTTTTGCCCTGTGGTTCTCCATACGATTAAGAAGGCTTTCATCGATCAGGGTTTTGCTCAATATAGAAATGTGCCAATAATATGCTCTTATGATGATGGGGGTGGCATTGGCACGAAATTCTAGTTGGGTTGTCTCTTGTGACATCGCTGGTCACTACGTCGTATGTCGTATGGACGTTTTTTTTTTTTTTTTGTCTTGTGTGGGCAAATGATCCAAATTTGCTCATTCTCAAGCCAACATCGATTTCGGATCACACTCTTGAGATGTTGGCAGCACTGTTGAGCCTCATGCGAAACACCACCGTGTTGTTCTATGGCACCATGCATTTCATTGCATTGGAAGTCCCTTCAAGGTTTAAAAGAATATGGCCACCACACAGCGTGTGGAGGGACAATTTGGCACGGCATTAATGTAAACTGACCAAGGCGAAGGAATGGCGTGTGGAGGGACAATTTGGCACGGCATTAATGTAAACTGACCAAGGCGAAGGAATGGTCAACGCTCGCACCTGTCTCAGCCAATAGATATAGAGAATACTATAGACATAGAGATAGATGTGTATTTATTAGTGTTGATGAGCTTTAGACATGGTGGAATGATGAATGAACGTGCGAATGGATCGTTGTAGTCTCGGGGCTTGCGTGCCACGCAGCTAAGCAAACATTTGTATCAAAAAGCTTGCGTTCTATGAGGTTTAGCGCAGGCATTACAGGGCAAAGTCTCTGGGCCTACTTCCCAGAGTGTGAGGGGGTTTCTACAGTACATATGTGCGTGTGAGACCACTTGGGTGTGTGTGTCTCTTCTTGTATCATCAAAAGCGTTTCAATTTGACTCGAAGTATGATTTCCTTACGAGACGGTATCACGACGGAACATGTGACCACAAAGAACGAAAAAAATCCCTTTTGCCATGCCTACGACACCACATCATGCCCTGGGGAGAGAGATGTGGCCGCTAGAGAGAAACACCGCTGCAGAGACGGAGGGAGGGGGGAGGGTGCGGCCGTAGGTGGCGACAGGTACCCTTGGTACCCTCGGTGCTCGAGCACTGTGGTGTTGCCACACGCCCATGTAACCCAAAATGCGGCCCTTGTGGGTTTTCTATGCGCTGGCTACCACTTTAGTGTCCTTGCGCTAACTGGTCTGCCGCCCTCCCGCTTCCCCACCCTCGCTGCATTCTCGCGTTCGTTCTGCCGCCGCGTCCCCCCCAACGCATCAAACGCAACCTAACGACAACCCATCTCTCTCTCGCCCACGTAACGCTCCAAATTTACCCTCACTGTCCGCCATGGAATCAAATAACTGCCTCATTTTTCCCTTGCTCACATCCAACTTACCCTCTTCAACAAGGCCGGCCTTACATGCTGCAGCCAGTTACCTTCCCGGCCCTTCGTTCCACCTGCAGTTCTCAATTCCTTTCCATCTTTTTCTATCTCTACCTTCGCGTTAGAACCTTGTATCTGCACTTGTTCATTTATTCTGATACCGCAACTCACCCACCACACGGTCAAAGAGCCGCCCTTCAATTTTATCTACATACACATTCCGCAAACCCCGCCGTCCTTGTATGTTATTACATGCCGCGTAACCATTCCAGTCTGCTCCCCTCACACGAACCGTCAGCAGGAAAGCACAACTCTGTCATTCAATTGCAACTGTTTTTTTCGATTTCAACCGTGTTGGTTCAATCGACCAAACTCAATCCAGGACACCAACCCGTCCACGGCTATCCATACTTTACCACTTGCAAGCCCAGTTCGATTCTACGTGGTCTACCGACCAAATCTCGAGAGCTCAATAATTGCGCATTCAATATCGTCCACACCTGGAAGCCATTGGAAAACAAATCTTGTTATCCGTCACGAACATGAATCACGATCACACCCACAATTCGTTCAAAACATTTGTTCGTCGAAGAGGAATAGGAAAACAATCAAACGATGACAGCCGAGATACTCAAGCCAGCATGCCACGAAGAACATCGTCGCAATACCACGAGAATCGCCTCCCTCCTCTCCTTCCTCCAACACCGCCAGGAAGCCACACCCCGCAGCCAGCGCCTCTCCCACAACGAACTTTACCTGCCCATGGTTCTGCGGCGGGATTTAATTTGAGTGCTGATGGTCAACGATCAAATCGCAGTGGTGGAAATTCATCTTCAGGGCGTAGCAACCGCCCGAATGCTGCCGGGTCGGTGATGGCGTCTGGCAGAATTCGACGTACAAGGACTGGCACTAGTGCACCCCCTAGTCCTATGCGTAGTCGCCGGCGAGAGGAAGTACCAAGGACCCCACCACTCCAGAAACCCTCATCTAAGAAGCAGTACAAGTGCGAATATTGCGACCTTGACTTTGGACGTAAGCATCACAAAGAGAGACATGTTGCAAACATTCACAAACACGTAAGTCCACCCATGCGTCGTGCGCCATCAAATATCCATGGTGCGCGAATCTGTCGAAGAAACTTACTTGATCTACAAGGCTCCATTGCGATACGTGATGCGAGATTCCTGACTCTTTCTCTTGTATGTCTTCACCTCCGCCGTTATCTGTAGGAGAAGCCGTTTATTTGTGACATTTGCGAACATCCATTTCACCAGAAGCCAAATCTTGATCGCCACCGTGCGACAGTTCATTCCGAGACGCATGCCTTTGTTTGTGATGCCTGCGGAATAGCTTTCAGTCGAAGAAGCATGCTGAAAACGCATGTCCAGGAAACGCATCACAATGTGCAAAGACATGAATGCATGATCTGCCGTGAAGTCTTCTCTGTGAGGCGAGATCTGACGGCTCATATCCGGTCAGCACATCCTGGGTACCAAACAAGTTCGGGATCGTCGTCAAGCCGGGGGAAATGAGTACTTGATGACAGAGTCGGTCATGCATGGGCTTGTACAGATCAAAGATATCTTTCCTTTCCAAATCCTGGATGCTAATCGTAAATCCCCTCAAACGCTGTGCTGACAAGCGAAACCTGCCCGACAACCCCGTCCCCCTTCCCCTGTGACTGTAATACATCCCTAGGACCCTTCGGAAGGCTATCGCATCGGCATATGTAGCTGTGAGGCAGAACAATTGGCGCCTTTTCCTGACGGTGGATGGAGCCGAAAGGCGACTGAAAAACATTGCAATATCCTGATGCGTGAAAAAGGTGTTCAGGATGGAAGACAATGCGTCCATGTAAATGAGGATATGCATCTCCAGCACCCTAAGGTGTGGGATGGGACAGTCACAAGACAAGAGAAAAGTCGGACTGTTGTAAGAGGTAGTATTGTAACGGCTGAATCCCACTCTCGAGTTGCTCAAAGCATTGGCGGATCCCTGAGGCGGATCACAAGCTTGTTGCAAATTGTGCCTCCTGTGAGCAAGTCTCGCCCAATTTCCGCACTAGTCCATTTTTCCTCCTTTTTATTATGCAGTATTCGTTTTGTGTATTATAGCTGATGGACTCTGTATCAGCAGGCAGTACAGTGTTGCCGGTGTTGCTCGCGCAGTTAAAGGTGCCTGGGAGAGATGCTGTACACACAATACCTGCGGTGAAGAGGCGTACAGTAGCAAACGAGGTGCGAGCGAGAGAGCAAAAACTAGGACAGGGGGCCGTCGGACCGGAACAAAGAAGCACGGGTTCATGCATAACATTAGGCACTCCGATTCCCTGTTGTCCCCTTCACTTCATTTGTGAAAGCCTCCTGCTGTGTTCAGCGAAAACTATAAAGAGTTCTGCATGAACGATATGTGTGTTAAATCTGATACGTACCTGACAAGGCAGTGTAATTGCCGACGACACTATCAGTCTCTCCACATGCATCAGATTCCCTCATGAGATTGCAGATTGAATCAACCTCGGCTCAAGACTGAGGCTTCATCCGTGGATTTCCAGCATCAGAAGATGCAACTCAACAATAGTATTTAGGCATTTAGCACAATTTCGACACAACAAATGCTCAATACGAATTAGAAAGACAATATATATATCTATATATTCATATGTTTAAATACCGACCCCTTGTTAGAATTTCAAGTAACAAACCTGTTTTCGATTCCATTGATTTTTTGTTTTTAACCTCCTCCCACGTTATCTGTTCTCTTACCCTGCTGAAGTGTTTAATTTTTCTCATGAATGAGATTGGCGATTCCAAGCATTTGGCTTCTTTTCATGGCATGTGCACTATGTATCCATTCGAAAATGAACAATCCAGCCAATTAAGTTGTTATAAAATACATGTCATCTTTTGGCTGTAATTATTCAGATGACAAAGCCAACAGCATAATAGAAGGCAGCGATTCTCTACGAAAACCTCCGCACACCACACAAAAGCTGAAAAAAGGCGAGGAATGGCGTCACAAAAAGTGCCGAAAAACGGTGAAGTCGTTGACGAATATGAAGTAAGTATTTGCAAGTATTTGCTTCAGGTTCACTTTATATATAGATATATATGTTTTATGTGGTTGAGCTCACACAGAATTAATTTTTACCTTTATGGCCTAGTGTATCGCCACGCCGGCGCTCTTGGCGAGCTAGGCGGGCTGAGGGGAGATCCTTTAAAGTTGCAGTTCGGGTTCTAAAACAGAGGCCCCAACTGAACCCCTTGCCTGAAGAAGAACTATCCAACTCCAACGACACCTTTCTCATCTTGTCATATGTTTTAACTTGTGCTACCGTTCTTCATATATTGTGTATACATTGAAAAGTCTTTCTGGAGAGCTCGCCAAGATGTGATGTGCGCATTGTTGAATAATTTCTGGAATATTAGCCGGATTCATCGGCACAACCCACTTGGTTGGTGCGCAGAAATTCTCTCCAACCTTTTTGCACAAGACTGGTTCGATTTCAATTCTTTCGCGAATGACCCAGATCGAACCTCATTCTTGTGCTGTGGGAATTCTAATAATCTCTCGGCCAATTTGAAACTGGAATAGTATATCAGCGTGCGCATGAAGCCCATAGAAAATAGCGAATTGTGAGATCTCCACAGCTCATTTTACAAGCTCAGTTGGCAGAAATTGGTGTTCCTGGAATGTTATGACCGATATGATCCGTTTTAAGTCCTGTTGTCTCGTATTGCTTAAATACATTGCAATCCTCAAAATAAAAGGCTGTCGAAATAAATGGATCTTAATTAATTTTTAAGGACAGCAAGCATCATGATAGCTTGGTGTTTCTCGACATCGAAGTTCTTTCCACTACAGGGGGTCGCGATATAGTGCCATCTTTTCTAGTACCGCTCGAATATAGTGCTGCCCTTCTGCGGGTCGCACGAATTTTGAGCCAAAAACGAAGGGTCTCCAGAGCGGCCTTTATGGCGGCGAAAAAGGAGGAAGTCAATGCGACCCTGCAATTACTTTTGAGGAAGACTGAAGCTGCTCGATTGTACAATGAGAAGTAGCACTCGTCTATCCATTACCCAAAAAAACTACCGCCGAGAGGGACAAATTGAGGGTCCATAGTTGACGCCATCAACTGCGAGAGCATCTACCCTACACATGGCCTTTTTGGAAAACAATCAATAATTCTTGATGGAGCGACAAAAGAAATAATGTGCAAGAGTATGAATTATATCTACAAATGGCGTTTTGACTTACTGCAAGCTCCACATCCAAGAAAGTAGGAGAAGACGGGACTAAAACCCAACTGCCTGTGAGTAAATGTCATGAAGTCTATCCAACAGAGCGTGCAACCAAGCTCTCTCATGACATGCTTTGAAAGGGAAAGACAAGTGATATAGTTGGGAGGCATGATACATCTCAATCTCATACCTTCAGTTAGGTTCTGCATCCTGTGCGTACGCTTCCCTTCTTTAAGCGAAACAAGTCGTGTCTGTCCTGATGTAAGTTCAAAATCTGCAAGAAATCAAAACCTGATCTGCATTGACATCTATTATGGAATACCAGACGTGACTTTATCCGTGGCACTCTTTCAAGAGGAGACAGTCTATCTAAAGATATCATTTCAGAGTTCGCGCAAAAATCCGAAAATGCTCTGTGAAGCTTCAGAACATCCACTCGTCCTACGATAGCTTGAGCTGTTACTACAGCTGCCGGCTATTGTACAACAGTACATACTGTACCCTTCTCATCGGCATAATTTGGGTAATGGGGCAATTTGGGTACCCCGAAATTCCAACGCTAGGCCCATCACTTATCCCCATTGCGTCCATCCTCACCCTGAATCCTTTCTACCTTTCCCAGCTTCAGCTGGAACCTCTTCCTCGATCCCTAGCTGGCCAATTGCGCCTGAAACACAATATGCCGACATCTATGCGCGTGCAAACTCAAGCCTACAAGAAGAGAATCTCGCGGAGAAAAGCCGAGCGCATGCGAAGGGAAAGCCTCCTCTCGTACATTAAGGAGGGCGATTCCGCTCTCAAGGCCTCCAGAAAGACTGGTGTTTCAAGAACCACAGCGACAAGGATAAAAAAGGCATATGATTCCTCCAACAAGCCCGAGCTAGAAAAGCTCCTAAATCCGGAGGACCATCATCCGGGTCGCAAACCAAAACTTTCTTCTTTTGAAGAAAACATGATCGTGAATCGTACTCTACAGGCTGCCGATCAAGAGTTCGCAGTAGACAATGATACCATAACCGCCGTGCATGGTCGTATTGCCGGTGATCGGACCCCCACTTATGCCACAGGACTGCCAGCTGCCGACACAGTACGAGCTTTTCGAGCTCGTAATAGGTCCTTGGGCTATCGTGTAGCTGAGAATGTGTCGACAGCCCGTCTCTCTGCCCAGAACCATGATCACTTCGCCACGTTGGAGCGTGAACTGAAAAAAGTTGAGCAAAACGACCCCAGTCATTTTTTAGACCCCAGACGCATCTGGAACTGGGACGAAACGGCCGTCTCAGGGGAATATGGGCGCAAAGTGAGGTGCTATGCATCTTCCGATACTCACCACGGAGGAGCGCGGAGGAGTATTAGGGACCCTGGGAAGCACGTAACAGCCGGGATTTCCGTGGCTGCTTGTGGGAATATTCCTCCCCTATTTTTGGTAGCATCCGGAAAACGAGTGGTGAAGGCATGGAAAAAGCCTTTGGATAAGACGGACTTCTCTGACAGGCAAAGAGTCCCCCACTGGTTGTGTGAGGAGGGATGGTTTCGCTCTGATGCCGCTCTGCACGTCACAAAATGCGGCTCGATAAACCGTGAAATTATTGTGAAAGTAGTCGAGCATATCAATGCACATGCTCGAAAAAATATTGAAATGGTGAAGTCCATTCTTCTCCTCGTTGACGGTCACAGTTCTAGAAATGGATTGGAGTGGCTCGAAGCATGTCAAATATGGTCATCGTAGTGGTAAGGCTTCCTGCAAACACTACCCATATTTTGCAGTCTTGTGACCAATTTGTTAATAAGAGATTTCAAAAGATCGTTAGAAGCACCCGGGACGAATTGCTTTCTATGCGGCACTTATCTTGGGCAAACACAGCTTACAAGATAAAGCTGGCCGTTGCTGGATACCAATCTCTCACAGCCGAGGACGCAATAAAATCACTCGTCGCTTGCGGTTTGTGGCCAATGAACTACAGATTTCTGCAGTTTGTTCCGTCTCCTACATCAAACAGTGTCCTGAAAGTATTCTCTGGTAACCAATTAGTGAATCAGGAAGTGAATGTGGCACATGGAACAGCCACAGAATGTGATAGGAGGCAGAATAACTTGCTCCAGGAGCGCATACATCGGCTTACAGATGGGTCCGTCCCAGCTTTTAGAGCACTTGCAGAAGTTTCTTCTATTCTCCAGTCGGACTATAGAGTACAGAGGATATTGAGAGCAGAAATCTCCGCGCCTAAAGTGTCCATTGAGACACGGAAAGCTCGTAAAAAAGGTAACGCGTCGCAGGAGGCGGCTTTGCTTACTCCGACAGTGCGTGGAGATCCATTACGTCCGATTCAAGCTACAGGAGGCCATTTAAATGGCCGTGACGGGGGAAGGAGAGGGACGCGGAGGGATAGGGTAGACGAAAATGTGGACAGAGAAAATATCCAGTGTGCTGGGAGTCCTTTTGTGGTGCGC